GCTTGGATATTGTCGGTGATGCGCCATCACACGCGCGGACCATCTATGACGCGTAAGTAATGACGATCCATCTCCTTGCGATGGTGCTCATATTTACGAGAGTTTACCGGCTACCCTTCGGCCCCCCGTCAATCTGTAACCTCTCCCCACGCACTTACCCCGATACCCCGGAGCCTGAACCCTATTTAAGGGACGATGCTCCACGTCTTTTCCCAGAGTTTCCCTCGACTTCCCGCTCAACTTCCATCCAACTCGCTTCCAACACCTACTGAATATGGGGTGGTCCTTCTGGAGGAGATGGTGCCGGTGTCGCGAATGCGTCGCTCGGGTGGGCGATCATCATGAGTGCCTTCGCCGGTGGGTTCTGTCTTCTTATTACGTTGGCGGCATCGGATTGACTTTGCCCCGCGTTCAGCCTTTGGCGGTATTCTCTTTGGGTGCGTCCGTCCATCCGTGCGTCCAGCACACGCCTGAATGATTGTTTCCAAAGATATGACACGGGGACGATCAACGGAGTCATTGCCATGCAAGACTGGCTCAATGTCTTTGGTGACTATGACCCGACGGGTGTTTTGGGCACCTCTACGCACGGCCGGTTCATCACTACGTCCAACAAGAGTTTGGTGGTAGGCCCCTGTTCCACTTGCTTTCCGTTCGCCGAGGCATCTGACGACCCCTCCCTGCCAGGTGTCCATCCTTTCCGCGGGAACGTTTTTTGGTGCCCTGTTGGCCTTCCCTATGGGCGACAAAATCGGACGTAAATGGGGCATCGTATACAGTTGCATCATCTTTTCTCTTGGAGTCGGTCTGCAACTCGATACCCACTGGGCTACTTTCGTTGTTGGTCGGGGTGTGTTGCTTTCTCTGTTTATTTACTGGATGTTGTGCTCATGTCATGCAGTTATCGCCGGTGTCGGTGTCGGACTGGTATCGTGTCTAGTGCCGATGTACCAGAGTGAATGCTCGCCCAAGAGCATTCGTGGGCTCATTGTTGGCGGCTACCAGCTTGCGATTACCATCGGTGCGCTGTTCGCCGCGATTGTTCTGAATTCGACCAAGAATCGTCCGAATCATTCGTCTTGGAGGGTGAGTGGACAATCTGACTGTGCTGACTGTGGAAACACCAATCTGACTGAGTGCTTCAGACCCCCATCGCAGTCCAATTCGCGTGGGCTTTCATTCTTGGTGGCGGCATGGCTCTTTTGCCTGAATCTCCTCGGTTCCTTGTGCACAAGGGCCGTCTTGACGAGGCCCGCCGTGCCATGTCCCGGCTGACGAACACACCCGCCGACTCGACCGAGGTCGACCACGAGATCAACGAGATCAACGCTGCCCTGCACGAGGAGAAGTCTGCTGGCAGCGGGTCTTACCTCGACTGCTTCCGCAGCAACTCGCTCAAATACAGTCTGCGCACCTGGACCGGCATCCTTCTCCAAGGATGGCAGCAACTGACCGGCATCAACTTCATCTTCTACTACGGCACGACATTCTTCCAGAGCGCGGGGATCAGCAATGCCTTCATCATCACCATCATCACTGATGTTGTGAACAGTGCGTTCAGTGCAGCCACTTGTGTGGTTTGTAAACTGACTGGGTTTGCAGCTGCAATGACGATCGTCGGCATCCAGTTGATCGACCGTGCTGGGCGACGCCGCCTTCTGCTCTGGGGTGCTGTGGGTATGAGTTTTTGCGAGTTCATCGTTGCGATCGTACGTCGTGCTTTTCGCAGTTATGAGTTTTTCTGTTGACATTGTCGCCAGGTCGGCGTTACTGCTGGCAAAACCACTGATACAGGAGGAGCCGTCAACCTCGCAGCGCAGCGCGTCATGATCGCTTTCGTCTGCATCTACATTGCGTTCTATGCCATCTCCTGGGGACCTGTTGTGTGGGTCATTACTGGTGAAATTTCGCCCTTGAACATCCGTGCCAAGGCAATGTCTCTCTCTGTCGCCTCCAACTGGTTGTGGAACTTCGGCATCGGATACGCTACCCCGTATCTCGTCGACACCTCCACCAAAGGCCAGCCCAACGGGGTGGCGACTGCCGCATTGCACGTCAAAGTGTTCTTCATCTGGGGTGCCACCTGTGCCTGCTGTGCAGTCTACACCTATTTCTTCGTCCCCGAAACAAAGGGTCTTTCGCTGGAGCAGATCGACATGTTATACGAGAACTCAAATGGTCAGTCGTTCTTATGCTTCCTCATGCGCTTGTTTTCTCACTGTGCGCTAGCCCTGCAATCGACCAAATACAATCGCGAGTTGCAAGCGGGAGAGCACAATGAAAAGCACGAAACTTCGTCTCATGAAGCGGCCATGAAAATCTAAGGATGGAATAACGTATCTCACTGCGATGTAATTTTTACGCCTGTCATACTGTACCATAGTCTATCCTCAATAATGGCTTTGAAACTGTATGCAGTTGTTTAGGAGTGGTCAAATGTGTCCGCAGTCAGTCAGTGCGGACTGAGTACTAGTTTCCAATAACTGGAAGTCTGTCGGCTGACGGTCTGGAGTATCGGAGCAGCTGCACCAAACTCGCCGGGGTCATACCTTCCATGCGTTTTGCGGCACCCTGAAACGGAAATGAGATCACGACGCTGTGGCCGACTTGGTAACTCACCACGGTCGCGGGTCGGACTCGGTTCAACCGTTCTTGGATCTCCAGACTAATCCCAGCGATGGCAGAATAGTCCAAGTCGGGATTCAGAATCAGGGACTCGTCCCTCATGAAATCTTCGACATCCGCCATTTGCCGAGCCAGAAACGGTGTGTATATTCCTGTAATAGGATGAGCATCCAAAATACACTTCAAAGAACACAGACTAGCCATCGATCTGGACCCGGGCCAAGATGTGAGCGGGAAGGCGGCTCAAACCAGGAATGGCTGCTCGAAGCAACGACAGATCCACATCGGGATAACGAAGCATGTGACCGCCACTGCGCAATTCTCCATCCAGCTTGACTTTGAATCCGTAGCTGTTCCACTTTTGCGGGCTCATTGACACCGAGTTGAGGATGTGGGCGGCTTCTTCCAGGTGTTTTCGAGTCTGTTCCAGGGCAGACCACCGTTCATCAGAAACTGCACCGGCCTGTCTTCCTGCAAACAGTCAGCATTGGGTTTGTATCACCCATCCCAACGGCCAAACCTAATTCAGTCAGTCGTAGGTCCGCATTGTCGCTCCTGATGGTCATCCGATACTCCGAACGGGACGTGAACATCCGGTCTGTCGACAGTGAGACGAATCCCTGGATCGTGGTCATTCATACATGGTTCCTCTGCTCCCTTCACAATCAAGTCGTCAATCATGACGCCGACATATCCCTCTGCTCTCGTTATGATCAACGGCGCTCTGTGGAGAGCAGCCCGTCCAGCATTGATGCCTGCGACCGCGCCTTGGGCAGCGGCTTCTTCGTATCCCGTCGTGCCGTTGATCTGCCCAGCGAGGTACAGGCCCTGAATCCGTTTTGTTTCGAGCGTCCGCGTCAGTTCTCGGGGATCCACGTAGTCATACTCGACGCCATACGCGGGCAACACCATCCTCACTTTCTCCAGCCCCGGTATTGTCCGCAACATGGCCTCCTGCAGCTCCTCTGGCATGCTGTTCGATATTCCGTTTGGGTAGATCACATCCGAATCGTACCCCTCTGGCTCCAGCCAGACCGTGTGGCTGTCTTTGTGGAACCTCGTGATTTTAGCTTCCAGCGAAGGACAGTACCGAGGCCCTTTCTTGGTCTCTTGGATATGGACACTCAGATGCATGGTGTCTTTCACCTTTTGATGTGTCTCCGGCGTCGTAAATGTTTGGAAACAGGGGATTTGGTTGTTCTGTAAGCATGTCAGAAGCTGTGGTGAGAGCGGCCTGCGAGCGTACAGCATTGGCGACCTCAGTATTCAGATAACTGAATGGCTGCGGATGTTCATCCCCGATTTGCTTTTCCATCCCACTGAAGTCGATCGTGTTTCGGTCTAATCTGGCTGGGGTCCCGGTCTGAAGCCTGCCCAACCTGAAGCCGGCGGAAGCAAGCGAGGCTGAGAGACCAACAGATGCTGCCTCGCCAATTCTGCCGGCAGGTATCCTTTTCAGGCCTTGAAACTATCAAAGCAGACGAAAAGGAGCAGAACGTCAACATACCGATGTGGATCTCTCCCGAGAGAAAGGTTCCAGTGCATATCACTACTTGCGAACAGGCAACGACTTCCCCCGAATCTTCGTTCGAGTGTTCTCAACACTTGAGAAGAAGAAAGTAATATTGTGGAACTTACTTAGTTTGACGCCTGAGATCTTACTGTCATCTAAAACGAGATCGAATGCGCCCTCTGCGCGGACGTCAAGATTCGGATAGGACAATATGGCTTCTTGCATATGTTTCTTGTATAGCTTCCGATCCATTTGAGCGCGGGGACCCTTGTGTCACGTTGAACTCTGAGAGCGAGACAATGAGTGCGAGCATACCCAAACTGCCGCACCCTTCGACTTGTTCAGAACAGTAAATTGTATCCCTGCTTTGTCTGGCAACAGTCATTCCCGAGAGCAAGATCAAAAGACGATGTCCGCTGACCAGAGACACGGCCCATCAGGCCGTCCAGCGCGTCAACCTCCCGCACAAGGGTGCCCTTCCCTACTCCACCAATGGATGGATTGCAAGACATTTCACCGATAGTATTGAGATTCGGGGTCAAGAGAAGCGTCCGGGCCCCAGTGCGCGCAGAGCCTGCCGCGGCTTCACATCCCGCATGTCCACCGCCAATTACGCAGACTGATAGTTCCGGTTAGAAATGCAGGGAGAAACGAGAGCCGACGGAGTAGCCTGCCATCGTATTGAGGAATATGACTGGTCGAGTAATAGGCACTGCGATATAGGCCAGTGCTTCGTCTTCTCAGCACCCGGTTTGCAGTCGCAAGCATGAACTTTTGATGAGAAATACCAATGCACCGCCACTCTGATTGACAGCCGCCGCGATTTTTGACTGGTGACTCCGGACCTAACTTGATCACATCCACCATCTGCATCCACCGAGATGGGCTACTACGACGAGATCGAGATCGAGGACATGACCTGGGATGACGAAAAGCGTGTCTTTCACTATCCTTGTCCCTGCGGAGACCGCTTCGAGATCAGTCGCAAGCAACTGGCGAATTACGAAGATATCGCAACCTGTCCAAGTTGCAGTCTTATCATTCGAATCATATACGATCCGGTTTGTTTTCTTGTACCGCTCTTTCGTCCTCACTGAATATCACTCAGCTTGACTACGAGGATGAGTCTGAGGAGGAGGAGGAGGAGTTAGATGAGTCAGCAAGCGAGGAGAGCGACGATGGGCAATTTGAGGATGCGTTGGAGAAGTTGTCTTTGACGGACGATGTGGATTGAGCGTGGTGTGGTATGTGCTGAAGGTTCTCTCTGCGATTGTGCCTCACTATAACCAAGGTATTCGTATCAAGACCTGCGAGCATATTCAGACCGTCACGTCTCCCGGGATGCGCCAGGCCAGGTCTCGGAACCGAGATCTTGAACATATATCTACGGAGATACTACAGCACTACGCTTGCTCACTACGTCATCAGTTCGTGCTGGACTTCCACCTGGAAAGCACATCAGTATATGTTGATTGCAATCAATACATGAACTTGCATGTCCTCGAACAGACGCCAAAGAACGGTGAACATGATGCCCTGGAGACCGTTGGCGAGGATGCGGGTCTTGAGGCCGCGGCCAAACAACCCGACGACCCCATCGGTGGCTATCACGGCGCGGGCAGCATCGACATAGCCGATTTCGGTTTGATGAACTTGACGGTAGGTTTTGACGACACGGAGTGAATTGGACACTGTGTCAGAGGTGATTGAGGCACAGAACCCGATGAAAGCTCGTCGGAAGAGCTTTCCAACGATGGTGACTGCCGGTGGAAGTGTTGCTTCCAGATAGTTGGTTGTACCAAACCACTGCGCGAGACAAGGGCCAATTAGAAGAAGCCGCCCAAGCAAAGCGATCCTACTTACAGGGTAATGGCCGGCAAATGTGGCTGCTGCGGTAGCGAACGCACCGAACCAGAGAGAGCCGATTCCGAACTGCTTAACCTACGAAACATTCAGAATCACCTTGTCTGACAGGCAGTCGACAAACCCGTGCTCTCAGGAGCTGCAGACCAGGCTTGCCCTGGGGAAGATATCAGACAGTCTAATTCAGAGAAGTGGTTCTTCGGCTTACTTCAGTCTGCAACGTCGTCTTGACGGTGTCAATCGGTGTCAAGATCATTCGGAATGCTGCCGCCGCGAGCGAAGCAAAGACAGTCTTGACGAGCGCGGGCATCAGCTTGAGGTAGCCGTTCGAGTCGAGCAGAGCAAGAATCCCAGCGTTGGCCGCAGTGTCGCCGAAACGGGAGACGGGTCCTTGGATGAGAGCTGCTGAGAGACCTTGATAGTAGCGCACATAGCCTCCATCTTGGTAAAGCGTGCGGATGGCCTCCGTCATTGAAGAGCCGTAACGGTACTGATAATTCATGACCGTGCGCAAAGGCTGTATGTCAAGTTGAATCCTGCCACAAGCGGGGATGGAGACATGCGCTTACCATCAGGGCCAGAACCTGAATAACCATGGCTTGAAGATGATGAAAAGAGGTCGTTGTGAGTGATAAGGCTGCATACCAAGGGCACCACTTAAACCACCACCGAGAGCGCTCTTGAGCGCTTTCTTGAAATCGAACTAGATGCACGCAGTGTTGAGAGAGAAGAGAGAGATTGCACGAGGAAGACACTGACCTCGACATCGTCTGCGTCGATCCAGCCCTTGATGAACACTCCAAGAAAGACCAAGCCTAGGACACAAAAGAAGGCGTAAATAGCCAATTCAATTTTGCTGCGTTTCTTCGAGCTTGGCTCCGGCTGCTGACGCGGAAGAAGAGGTTCTATTTCGTCAATGCTCGAGATGGGTCCCTCAACGACTGGTTTGGTTGGGGTGTCCGTCATGGCAGTTGTCTGACGAATAAGCGGGGAGCTTGCGTGCTTACTTGACTTTATTAGAGCACCTGTCCCGATAAGGCTGTTATTAGACTCGGATCAATCAACGGCCGCGGCGTACTACTTCGTACTTACTAAGAAGCATCACTGACATGGGTGAGAGAACTACAGACGATGGACGCAAGCAAGCCGAGGAAGTAAGGACTCGTCGTGATGTAACTGATTGGTGAACGGGTCGACGACAGTCACACCTGGCCGAACGCGCGCAATCCATCTCATTCATCTTCTCCATCCTCAGAAGCTTCCAAGGGAGGCCAAAAGGGTACGTCTGTATCATTTGGCCTGAGGCTGCTTAGGACTGCCCGGAAGACGTCCTCGGCATGCAAAGCGGCAGCGTCTCCTGCGTCTGGCAGTGGTAACACTGGCGGCAGATTTGTCGGAGAGACGTGGTGATCA